AGCACAGAAGTATAAATCAAGAGGCTGCGTCCATTCATTCATTCATTCCTGCGGATGCCAGGCGGAAGCGCTGCCTTAGCAGCTTGTGCGAGGCGGTCTGCAGTGCGCCCGAAGACGAAGTGGGCAGAGAAGTGTAGTGTAGCGATAGGGTAGAGGCAGCTAGCGCTGCCATAGCTGTAGCATAGTATGTGTGTGTGTGTTGTGTATGATACTGAGTGTTGCGTGTGGGACATCCAGGGTGATCCAGAGTGCGAACAGTGAGTTGTGTGGGCGCCCAGTTACGATATCTTGAGTACTGTGTGGGCGCATGTCGCCAGTTACTGTACCGCTGTTTGCAGGCATGACAAAGTGACAAGAAGACGAGTTTGAATTTAATAAAGGGAAACTCATGTAATGAGCCTCAGAACTCTCCATACGATGGAGTGCTCAAACCAGCAAGCATGACTCACAGATTCATGGATCGCATTGTCACACACATTGCACAAAGAGAAGATGAGTAATAGACCAGATAGTGCAGCTCAATTATTGCAACCAGATTATAGAGAGAGAATCACGAGTTCAACTGTCCAACGCCCAACAAGATTACAAGTCTTCTTCAATCATCAAGAAACTCAACATCTGCGCTCATCAGCGCTTGTCATTAACACCAAGTTCAGCGCTCTTCAGGTAAATTTCCAACATGTCTCACTCTCTCTCTCTCTCTCTCTTATCTATCTCTCACTTGATGATTCTGGTCTTCTCTCTGCACAGTCTTCTTCTTCTCTCAATTGCGCACTCCTTACTACTAACACACGCATGAGGATCAACTCTGAATACTACTCACTGTTCTACTTCTACTAACTACTAACTCTACTGCTTCCTAGTGCTGACGCAGCTATGGCTGCCTTCTTCTCTGCCAGCATCTACTTCCTCTCTCTCATCTTGCTCAGTGCTGCTCTCTGGCTTGGCGCAGCTTCCACACTAGCGCACAAGTGCACAAGCACTTCCACACTCTCGTGCAAATGAGCATCTCCCCGAATGGTAGGCTGGCCAGTCCTTTTGCAGTCTTGGAATGCACTTCAACTCGTGCCAGCCTCTGCTTCCTGGGGCCTGACTGGTCCCGGTACCACATCCGTCCGGCCTGTCTGCTTCTGAATGTCAAGGCCTGGAACCTTCCCGAATTTCCATGGGTCTGCTGCTGCTTGGACCTTTGGGTCATGACTTTTCATTTGGGAACATGACTTTTGACTGTGGATAGTGACTCCTGCCTGTGGGTCACGACTTTTGCCTGTGGTACTAGTAGCCTTTACTGGTGGGATGCGACTCTTCAATATGATTTTTCATTAGAAAACGTGACTCCTCTGAGTGGCTTTTATTATGAGACGTGACTCTTCTCCCTGAGATGTGACTTTTTGTTGGGTGCCTGCTGGACCAGACTGCTGATGTCGCATACCGTAACGGTACAGACCAGAACAAGAACCGACCTCTCTCACAAAGTACAAGATAACACAGCGGAAGGCTTRAATACCAATGATCCGAACAATCAATGTTGCCATGCAGACCAAACATACATCATCATCATTCCATGGTGTGAAGGGGCCTGACGCTCACACAGGAAGAATGCGCCAGTCCCCAACTATACACAGACGAGAAGAGGGGGGGTTAAACGAAGAAGAGGGGAAGACGGGAATGTCGTCAACACCAAGTCTTCGGTACAGTCCCAAATAATCCCTCGTCAAATGTCTGAATCATGGCTACGCCGGACGCGGACCCGGACATTTCCGGACATGGAACCGGACCCGTGTCCGGTAGTTTCTGGACGTCCGGAATTCCAGACGTTTCCGGATCTCCGGACATGGGGGAATCTGGACGGTCCGGATGTCTGGACAGGTCCGGAAATGTCCGGACCATTAAACAAAAATAAAAATAAAAAATCTGAAAAAAACTGTGTTAAACTCCGGGCCGCCCGGCGGCCCAGCCTCCGTCCGGCAGGGGTCCCCCGGTTCGATGGCCGGCGGGCCCAGCGCATTTTTGCACGGGGGGGGGGGGGGCTGTTTCGAAGTTTTCTTGGCCTTGGGAGCCTCCCCGCCCCCCCCGCGCAAAATTTTTCCCCCGCGCCCGTTCGAATTCGAACGCGCAGTTCGTCGAAGTGGACCCGTGTCTCCCCGCGCCGCCGAAGTGAGGTCGACCCCCGTCGCTGCCTGCCTTCGCTGAAGTCGTGTTCCCGCCGTCGACGCCCGTCGCTGCCTGGCTTCGCCGGGGTGCCCATCGTCGACGCCCGTCGCTGCCCGCCAAGGTGCTTGTCGTCACTGCCCGCCAAGGTGCTCTTTTTTTTTTCGTCAACGCAACTCAAAATCAGCAGGTCTTTCTCCTCCTCCTCTCAGCTTCTTCTCCTCCTCCTCCACATCTCCTTCCTCCTCCCCCTCCTCCTCCCCCTCCGTTCGTCTTCTTCTCTCCTCCTCCTCCTCCTTTCTCCTCCTCCTCCATCTCCTCCTCTTCCTCCTCCTTCGTCATCTTTTTTCTTTTATTTTTTTCCGTCACGCAACTTGAAATCGGCAGGTCCTCCTCCTCCTCCTCTCATCTTCTTGTCTCCTCCTCCTCATCATCATCTCTTTCCTCCTCCCCCTCCCTCCTTCTTCTCTCCTCCTCCTCCTCCTCCTCCCCCTCCGTTCTTTTTTTCTTTTTTTTGTCTTATTTTATTTTGAGGTTTTTTGTTTTTTCTTCTTTTCTAGTTCCCCTCCGTTTTTTTTTGTAGGGGAGCTGCGCCCGTTCGCTTTTGAACGGGCAGCAGCTATCTGTAGAGTGCCTGAACTTGGCTCTCAGTTATGCCAGGTTCAGGCGCTCGATAGGATCGGAAAAAAAGGTCCGTTGGGCCTGCCTCTAGTTCGATTCTGCGAAATGACTAGGGGAGGCAACTCATTTTGAAAAATGAGCTGCCCCTTCCAGAGAAAAGAGAGGTGGGGGAATGGACGAAAAGTAACGGCCACGTATGTGGCCGTAGGCGCGGAATAGATACAGGGGGTAGAAGGTTTTAGGGGTGAAGAGACTGCGCCTGTTCATTTTTTTGAACAGGCTGCAGTCTGGCTGGGTACAGCCATTTCCTGGAGCATGTGGCCTGCGGGGAAGGCCAGATGCTTCCGGGAATGGATGACCTTGGTTCCTTAGGGGAAAACCAGGGCTCCTAGCTCCTGGCCGTTGATTTAGATCGAGGGCCAGGAGCACCGACGAATTTTGCCTGGCTGTGGGCAAAGCAACTGCCCACAAGCCTTCGGCTGGCTATAAAAGTCAGCACTCCACCCAGCAGCCTCACACTTGTGGCAGTGTTGCTGGGGCATTCACTTGTGTGAATGCTGGCTGGCTGCTGCATGCTGCTGTAGAGGGGAGGTGCTGTTGGTGGAGGTGCTGGAGGTCTGCAGGAGCTGTTGGGGGAGAGACAGGCGGCATCCATAGCCAAGGCTGGGAGCTCACTGCCCCACCTCTGCATATGGGTGTCGCGGCCGGTGGGCTGCGTCAGGATCTGGACGGTGCTGCAAGCGGCACCTTTTCTAGTGAGGTTGTGTTGCCGCCACATTATCAAGACCTTCCTAAGGGAAGGTGCTGCAGGATTTGCCGCGCGGCGCTGAAGGTTTTTATGTGAGTATGGGGAAGCGCTGCTTAGTGGCACGGCGACAGTGACGCTTCGGTGAGAAGGTGCTATCGGACTGACGGCATGGCGACATTAGGGTCTCCCTAAGAGGAGGTGCTGTCTGTTTAGCGGCACGACAACGACGATGTTTTTTTTTAGGATATGCTGCCGAAATTTTGACATGGCAGTGGCACTTCGGGGGGAACTGCTGCTAATTTTTTTTGATACAGTAGCGTGGTACTGGTTTTTGACGGCGCGGCGAGCGGCAGTTCCGTTTTTTGTGGTGCGCAGCGGTTATGATGGATCCCAGTGTGGCCTAGAGTTGGCGTGGTTATTGTGAGCGGGCTTGATGATTGGAGGCTGCATGGACTTGTGGTTGGTTGGGGGAGTATCTTGGTGGGTGAAGTGCAGTTGGTATGGCGCTGAGACAATTAGGGACACTGGAACCACGTGAAAACTCGATTGTGAGAACACCCTTCTTGAAGGCTATCTCACTTGAGTCCGTCCAGTGGACCTGACTTTTGTTCATTTGAGCACTTGGAGAAAGAGGCGGCCGTCGTTCAGTGGAATAGGCGCAAGTTGTGGAGTTGCGAACTGCATATTTTCAGCTATAATGGCGATCGTCTTTTCC